AGAAGATCAACCTTCTTCAGAGGTGGAACAAGTTTCAAGATAAGACAATTAAGGTATTGAAGAAGTCAGTTAAGGACATGGGAGCTCAAATAAAGGACTTGCAGAAGAAGGTTAGTTGCTCTTCTTCTCCAGCAAGACCTCCTCATGCAGCTACACCATCCTTCATGCCCATGAATTACTCCACACATGGAGCCCAGAAGATTGATCTCTCACCTCTGCCCAAACCCTCATTTGATACAAGGACAAGTCTATTCAGGAGAAACTCAACAACAGCATCCGATCGAGTGCAACAAGAGCTTCAGTCCGAGCCAGAATTAGAGGATGCACACGAACATGCAATCAATTTCTTGCTCGACCAGGCGATCGAGCAGCAGGTCGATTACTCGACCGATTACATCGTGGAGGAGCCATTCGATCTGATGCACTGCACCATCGACGCAGAGAACATCCCAGGCTACACTTATGACCAGATGATCCAAGCTATGGGCTCTTATTTCATTAACCCATGAGGTACACACATTCTCTTTATCATTTTTTATACTGTTGCATTTCATTTAGAGTTTCTCTCGTTTAGATCCTAGATCATTCTCCTTGCTTTTGTTACACTGGGACTGGGTAATTTAAGTTTGAGGGAGGGTCTAGAATAGCATCTAATCATGTTTTTTTTATTCTTATTTTCGAATTTTTAGCATGTAGTCTTGGATTTATCTATATGCATCAAAAACCCTAAAACATTTTTAGAAAAATCTTTAAAAAAACAGAGTGATCATATAGTTGCTTTTGCATATTAGTCTTACTTTAGGATGTTACATTTATGATCATTGCATTTTCATAGGGGATTAGGATGATTATAACCAAATATCTTGATGTTTCATTAGACTTAGAATCAATGCCTTCGTCCATAGTTCTTTAATGCAATTGTATGAGCTTGAATTGAGGCCGCATCATTCTTTGGTCGCATAATTTAAATTCTAGTCTAAACTGAAGCTTGCTTTGATTTGATGTCATTCCTTGTTTATTAGAACCTTAACTTGATTGATAATTATCTGGTTGTGATTTGTTTCAAACTCATGGATACCTTGTATACATACTTGGATCTTCTTTCCCTCTTTTTACCACCCTTTTGTTGATCCATGTAGCTGGTCATAACCTTGACCAGTTAACCACACCCTGAAAACCTTAACTTTTCCTTCAAGCTTTGTATTGATTCTGAGTGGAATGCCTATTTTATGGATTAAGCTTTAAGAGAACGTGTTAGGTTTGAGCCGACAGGAATAGGATCTTGAGTAGTTCTGATTTGCATTGTACGGATCAGATAGGATTATGATGGATTCTACTTGGGTTTTAGGATTTGTTGGGATGGTGAAAAAGAAAAGAAAGAAGTGAAAAGGGAATGAGTTGAGTCTTTAGGAGAGTAAAAGTTTCAGAAAAGTTCAAAGTTCTAGTGAAAGATGTGTGGGGAATGCAAGGTATAAAAAGATGGTTCTAAATTTTAAAGAAAGAAGGAAAAGGGTGAGAATAGCAAAAAGCTTTGATTCTTAAGTAATAAGAAGAAAGAGAACCATAGTGATTATTAAGAGAACCCCCTATCGACTAGTTTATCATAAGAAACTCTCCTAAGGCTTAGAACAAAAAGGAAAAAAGGGATAAAAAGAGTTAAAAGGGTAGAATATGACCATTTGGGTTCAGACATTTAGGATATCACTAGGGGACTTTGGGTAGTCAAAATATTATTCATGTATGCGTTTGTTGGTCCTTACCTTTAGCATTCTCCCAAAAGCTCAATCTTGTTCCTTGAGAGATCCATATACTTAACGTTTAAACTCTCTCTAAAGGAGACCCTCTTTGTCTCTTGAACCTTTTCATACATAGCCAAATGAGTTTGTATTCACTTCACATCCAGATTCATGGTTACTACTTAAATAATGTTAAAATGAATGGTTAATTTGAATGCTTGCCTAAGTTCTATGACTGATGACATTTTGTATTGAGATAAGCATGGCTAAAGTCTTCAGAGAATGGTTTATATGATTTGCATTCTAGAACTATAGACAATGACATTGATTTTAACTACTTTAGCAGCAAGTATTGGTTATGAATCCCCACCTTTAAACCTCTCTCCTACTTTGAACTTGCTTGAGGCCAAGCAAAGAATAAGTTTGAGGGAGTTGATGTGTCTGGATTTTACTCATTTTAGAACTAGTTTTATGCATTGTTTTTGTCATTCTAGGTCTGATTACTTGATCATTTATGCATATTTGCCTTGTTTTGCTTCACTTGTAGAATCTAGGCCTTGCATTGCATGCATTGTAGTTTTTGTGCATAAACAGGTGTTTACCCAAGGGTAAAGAAGCAAATCATGAAAAATCGACCAAGTGTAGATGGTGCATCTGATCAAGCAGGAGGATCCGAGCCATCGAATCGATCAAGTGTTCGAGTGGACAATAGTAGCAGCTCGACCAACCATTCGATCAAGTCATCCGACCAGACCGATCGAGTGCATGACCGAGCAGACCTATCGAGCACTAATAAACTGACTTTCTATTTTGTCTGCTAGTGTTTTAGGGCTACCTTAACTTGCTATGAAAAGACTATTTGCCTAATGGCCTGGAGATCTCGAGTTGTAATAGGGATTCTCTTCATTTTGCTTTAGAATTGCCAGAATCTTGTAAACTCCATATCTTTTGATCTATTGAGTATTTTATGTTGCTTCTTTGTATTATCTTGCTTCTTTGTATTATCTTGCTCCTTAGATCATTATCTATCTAGTTATGCATGATTTAGAGATTTATGGGTTTGAGTTCTTGAGTATGTTTGTCAGATCTGAGTAGATTCTTAAGGTTTTGGGGATGAGTTAGATGTGTAGGTGGAGAAGTTTAGGTAGCTAGGTTTCCCATATGTAGAAATGTTTAGATTTCCTTCTGGATTAGTGTATTTCCCATTCTAATCAAGTGGTTATTAGTTCTCAGGCTTCCCCGCCCGAGAGGTGTTCGATGGAATGCCGGATAATCTAATACCAGAGAATTTCATGTCTAGCCCAAGAGATTGGTTATCTAGAGTGTTATTTGACATTAATGAGCTGAGTCTTAATGCCTATGCAGTTCATGCTTCATCAACCAGAAGTTGAGGTTAGGAAGTGATTTGATAGCCTTTGTCAAGAGATTGAACTGGTTAGCTTATGAGCTTGTTGTCTAGGAAACAGCACTATTTGTGTTTGATTGATTTAGCAACCTAGTGAACGTAAAGGTATCCACTGAAGTCACCAACTCATCCCCAGAACCTCCCTTTAATTGATTGATTTACCTTACTTCATTATTGTTCTTGCATTTGTAGTTCACTGCATGCTCTTATTTCTGTAGTTTCATTTCTGTTTTAGTTCAATGTTGTGTCTTCCTTAGTTTCTGCTTGATTTAAATTTAGTAGTTGATAGTTTAAAACCTTTCCTGTTTGGCTAAACTTGTTAATTATTGATTGCATCTGAAATGTCTGCATGCGTCCTTATGGATCGATAAAGCCCTTTATACTACAATTATATTGGGTGATTGATACCAAAAGCGTAGAAAACCTTGTATCAAGTTACAATTATTTAGGATAAAGAAAATTAAAAATTATTGAAAAAACACCAAATTTGAAAGTTTCTCATTTTAAACACACAAAAAATAAACACAAAATCAAAATAAGAAGTTATTTATTTTGAGACAAATCTCCTCATCAAAATAAGAAGTTACACAAACAAAGGCAGCACATAATCCTCCTAACACCAGAGCCACAAAATCACCCTCCCTGTAGCCAAAAATCTCAAGATCAACACCCAAAACTCTCTAGAACTCACAAAAACTCAAAGGAAAACTTAGAACCCTTCTTCACCCTCTGAAAAACAACAAAAGCGGCTAATCCCACTCAAAAAGTCGACTCTCCTCTTTCATTCACGAGCCCTAGGGTTAAACAACCCAACCCTAATCAATTTCACAATAAAAATCAAACCGGATGAACCAAAAAATTATTGGTGATTTCAAAACACGGTTGTTACAAGGACAACCCAATCTTTTTGAAACAATCCAATCGTTTTTAGTTTATTCCTTTATTAATGGAATTTTTGAGTTTTGGTGTTGTTTTGAGTTTATCTTATTTAGTTATTTATCTATACAAGTCGATGTAACCAAAGATAAAATATGGAGAAAAAAAATTAAAATCCAGTGTGTCTTATTTATTTTGCTCTCCATTGAAACCTACCAAAGAACGAGAGGGTAATAATGAAACAATAAACGGTTAACATCTCATATATGAAAGAAAAATTGTTTCATATTTATTTTTTCTTTTGTCATTGCCTATAAAATCAGTATGCATTAGCTCACGGACTTGGCTATTATTTTGTGGCTTTAAATACAATTCCTTCTGTCATTTATGGCTTAATCAGTTGCTGCATAACTGATCAGTTTTTTTGGTTCTTTTTGTGTGGTTTTTTCTTAACAAGAGTCTTGACTGTTGGCTTTTTACATTGAACAGGAAATAATGAATTGAAGTAACTTTTTTATGATGATTCTAACACATGATTTTTATGTATTGAGTTCTATATAAAGTTTTATTTGCTTTTTTTTGTTTGTTTTGGATTTGTATTATGATATGTGTGTGTGTGTGTGTGTGTGTGTGTGTGTGTGTGTGATGTTCATGGTTTACATTTGATAATTAAACAACATTTTTCTAAAGATTACTTAAGATTTTGGTTTTAAAAAACTTTTTCTTAAATACAAGTAAAATCTACAGGTTTATGAAGGATCACTATAGGACTCAACCCTATTATATTAGTTTTCAGGGTTTCAAAAGTGTTAGGAGTTATTTAGGATCGAGCTTTAATGAAACAAGACCGGGCTGGACTCATAAACCATCTTTAACATCCTTTGACACAAGTAACAATTTGATCACAAGAACTAAACAAATCATTTCTAAACACACACGTTACAAGTATTTTCAAATAGTAACTTCATTTTGATTACCAAATCCTATATTGGTCCAGCAGCTAAATTATTAAAATTAAACAAAAAAGGAATGTTGATCACATCGAAGAGAACATCATTTTCTTTCTTCACAGGAGATACTTGTTGATTGTCACCATTGAATCCCATTTCGCAAAGGCTTGGTGCCTTTTTCGCTCTCTTCAAACTAAATATGAGTTTATCCGAATCTTTCATTTTGATGTTCTTCAAAGCTGATGTCAACGCGTTATAACCATCAGAGTAAAGCTTAAGGCAATTTTTCAACAACTTCTTACTCAACTTGCTGTTATATTTCTTCTCATTCACAATCTTCTCCACAATTTTTCTCACATTTGTTAAGTTTGATAACGCGTTATTTGTTCCAATCAATGTTAAATCATCAGTGTTTCTCGCTTTTTGAGAATCCGCATTCTCTTCGAGAGATGCAATGCAAAATTTGTAGAAATATGGTGCCCCGTTGTGTGAACTTTTCTTGCAATATCTTTGAACTAGAGAATTTTCCACTCTATTAGCCGTCAAACCATTGAAAAGAAGAACAAACACAACGATGTAAATCAAGAACTTCATTGTTTTGTGTTTTCTCTTTTGGGAAACAAGATTACACTAGAGAGAATAGATTGAATAGTTATAGTAAACATGTGATCCAATTTAAAGCATAGAAATGTCTTTTTTAACATGAGAGTGTTATTCAAACAACATGCTTTTTTTAGATGGCTCATGTCATGCGTTACCACTCCGCTTACCTCGTTGCCTTCTTTCGTGGCCACCAGTGAAATGAAATGAGTCAACAAAAAAATTGTATTTTAGAACCTTATAAGGAAAACAACAAGAACAAAATAAAATAAAATAACTTCTAAATTCCTATATCAGAAAACTAAAATATAATCAAATATATTACTAGCAAAAAAATTGTGCCCGGAATACCATGGACCGACCAGAAAATATCAATTCGGGTAGGGTACGGGTACACCTAAATAACGTTATTGTGTTTTATATTGCTAAATCCGTGGATTCGGATTAGGGTCCGAGAAATATTTTATATCCGAACAGGTACCTATAAAACCAAACAATATAAAATATATTAAATATTAATAATATTTAACATTAATATCATTTAACTACCGAAGATTGTAATTATAATTTTGAATATATCAGTTAATTTTATATCTAAATATCCAAAATTTATTTGTTACATATGTCAAAACATTCAAAATTTATTTGTTACATATGTCAAAATTTAGTTAAAGTTATTTAAATTTAACAAATTTTAAGGTTTTTTCGGTTACTTGTTAGTTCAGGTAGTAATTGTATTCTAAAATTTGTAACCCAAACTGACACGAACCAGATAATACTAAAACCGAAATCAAACCGAAAGTTTAAAATTATTCAATGGGTCTTATTTTCCTAACACCATTTACTCAGACTGAAACAGGTTACTCATATGCCTACTACAAACATATATCTTTCAATTTATGTTGAATAATTACCAACTTTTTCTTCATCAAACTACAATGTGAACAAGTACGAGCTTTGCATTACTGAAAAGTGAAAACATATGTTTGCATACCAGAAACAAATAATATATTGAAAGGTGGAAGTAAAATGTAGTAGAAGAAAGATAAAAGTCAAATACAAGCCTTGTAATAATTTTCCCAAAATAGCACAAGTCTCAACAACAGACACAAACACTCTCTAAACAATAAGAAGATACTGAGGGGTTTTTTTTTTTTTTTTTGCTAATGTTTAATAAACGATTACTACTAAGCCTTTTCCATCAAAAGCTCCTCAATGAGCTCAGCTGCTTTCTCAACTGTAGTGATCGTCTGTGCTTTCTCCTCGGCCATTTCGATCCCAAACTCTTCCTCTAGTCCCATCACAATCTCCACCTGAATACCCAACACAAGCGAACATGTCAAACGCATATATATACATTGTTCCTGCATTTCCAATTGTTGCTTGTACAATAAACACAGCATATGCAAGATTGGCAAAAGGGGGATTTGTTATGCATTAAGAGTTCAATTCAGTGGTTATAAAAAACTGATTGATGTAAGACAATTACCGTGTCAAGGGAATCAGCACCAAGCTCAGAAAATTTGGTTGCACCCACAACTTTCTTGGTATCATCAAGTGAGAGTTGCTTCTTGACAATTGCACACACCTTGTCCACTGTCTCCGGTTTTGCCTGTTTACCAGTAATTCAAAAAGGATAAATCAATCTTGTTCTCCACAATCAAATCAAGCAGCCATGACCACAAACAAAACACATTGCTCTGCAGATTCTACAAACATCATATGAGAAGAGACAAAGAGTCTTACAGCGCATGAAACCGTCAAACGAGTAGGAAGCTGCTGACGAAGGTTAAAAGAAAGATTGCTTCTTCCATTGCTAAAGCATTTAACTTGATTAACCGCAATCGCCTGCCATCATCACATTCGACAAAACTCACAATCAAAAACTCAAAACTCAGAAACAAAAGAGATAAACCAAAACAGCAAAACAATCTGCAACAACAAGCTTCTCAGATTCTTGAATTAACCAGTCATAGTTAAACAGAACAAATCCTCGAATCTAAACTAACAAAATTTCAAAGTTCATCATCAAATTCCAAATTCTTACAATCAAAACTCAAAACTCACAAAAGCTAAAGAAAACAAAAGAGATAACACAAAACAACGAAACAATCTGCAAAAACAAGCTTCTCAGATTCTTGAATTAACCAATCCTCAACGCTAAAACTAACAATTTCAATGTTCTTCCCAAATGCTAATTCACATATAACAACAAATCCAATTCCAAGAGACTAAAGACTCATCAGATCCACAAATCAATCTCAAACGATTCAGCAAATTAGATCTACGATTGAAGAAAACGAACAATAAGATTGAGATCAAACAAATCAGATCTGTAACAAATTGAGATGAATCTAAGGGATAAAGAGAGAAAGAGAGACCAGTTGGCGAGGACGAGTTTGTAGGGAAGTGGAAGCAGCAATGGAAGCCATAGAAGAGATCGGAGTTGAGATTTGAAGGAGGCGGAGAAGACGAATAGATGTGTGTGAGACAGTGAAGAAAACAAGTAGGAGAGATTTTAATTTATAGTCACACAAAAAAAAAAAATCTGAGATTCCAAGGAAAGTGAAACGCAGACAAGTCAGGTGAGGTTGGGTTGATTTGGCAGAGAAAAAAACAATATTAGCAAAAATCCAAGAAAATTAAAAATATTACAATAGTATAGTGTGTGTTAGTCATGAGACCATCTATCCGAGATCCGTAATCCGATCTGGAATCTGTTGCGATTCTCTCCGAAAAACCGGTTATCCGGATAGGGCGGAGTCTGATCCGGATAGTAAAATAATAGATCCGGCTGGATACGAATAGTGAAAAATTTTAGCTTGGATATCTCGATCCGCAATTTTTAATATTGTAATGATATTTTTGTTAATATTTAGGGATTTTGGCATCAATAACCTTCAAACAAATTATAATTCACCAAATGACAATACTAACATCTAAAAGGTAATATTTTGTGTATTTTCTATATTATATAAAGAATTACCCTCTTTTCATATGTGTGTGCTGTCCACTCTCTCCAATTTCTTTTGCTTCACTCGCTCACAATTGCATGAACCTATGTTTTTCTATTTTTTAAAAAGTTATTAAAACTATATTTTCTTTATATCTCACTTATAATCCTCTTTATCCCCATTACTCATTAAAGACTTCAATGTCTATGAGTGATAAACGGCGAAAAAATTTAAGCACCTTCTATTCCACTTATATTCCATTTTTTTACTAGCATTCTCAATTTCAAATTTAATTATATTACATGTTTACAAAAATATATTACAATTAGAAATACCTATATGTTATAAATTATTAGAAATATAACACTATTCACCATTTATAGTTTTCAACATCCGATTTTAAAAATTTAAGCTATGTCGAATGCAGAAAAAAATTACTAACTTTTTAAGATAAATTTCAAATTACAAATTAATTTTGATGAAAAGATATATCACAATAAAAAGATAAGGGGGTAAGAGTTATTTATCTCAACAAATACGGAATCCGGAGCCGGATATTAAAACTACGAATCCGCCGGATACGGATACGGAGCCGGATATCCTAAAAAGGTTGGATATCCGGCTCCGCCCCAGTCTAGTGTGTGTGTGTTTTTTTTTACAAGAAAAAGACATTTAAATTACAATTTATTTATTTGTTTGTGGGAGAATTAGCTCAATATTCATTTTCAATAAAACAATGAAGAATATTGCACACTAATAGCTGAAAAAATAAGTAAATAACTATTGGACAATGTAAAAAGACCAAAGAAGACACAACACAAAAACTATCATGCGAGTTTAAGGTGTTCATGCATATATACTTGATCGGTTTTAATTAGAAAAATATTAAGGTGATCATGCATTCGATTTTCATGTTAATCATAAAATTAGGTTTCATAAATTCATATTATTCAAACCAGCAATAATCGATTTCAGGTTTTAAGGGTTCATCGTTTCATATGAAAAACAGTCAACCAAACAATTTCAAGTTTTAGGGTTTTAGGGTTTTATGGTTTCATATGAAAAATCAGTCCATTAAACAATTATAGGTTTTAGAATTTTAGGGTTTTATGGTTTCATATGAAAAAGCAGTCCATTAAAAATTACAGGTTTCAAGGATTCATGGTTTTATGATTATAAACAAGAAATAATGATTTCAGAGATTTATGTTACTTACCTTGATCACCTAAAAGGGGTTGAATGGATTATGAGCAAGAAGACCTTAGAACCGTCGTGAACCTCCTTGGATTAGCAAGAGAAACGTCGAGCTTTGATCCTTCGATGATGGTGCTTGATCACAATCGGTGGAGATCTTAGGTTTAAGGTTTAGGGGAGTTTTTAGCTTATAGCTTTTAGGGTTCTTAGAACTATCGTGCTGATAACATGTTGTAAACTAGAGGGAATTCGAGTGTATATTTATTCATGAGTAATGAGTCCTTTATATAAGGATGAATACAAAAGGAGAAAAGTAAAACCTAATACAAATAGGTAAAAGGTTAAGCCTCCTAAGTATGGGACGGACCGGGCTTGATCATGCGCCGGACCGCACTGAGCTTGTTATGACAATCCACCATTTGGTTTATAACACAAACGACATTAAATAAATATTATAATCTAAGAAATACAACATAAGTAAACTGATAACATGTTCATCTAAGTAATTGCATTTTTCAAAACTCAAAACATATGTTTAAAAGTTGTAAAAAATAATTTCAATATTTGTATATGTTTTGCTGCTTTTTTAAAAGAAAATAGAATAGAGTATTGGTTTGTTCAATATAATAAGAAATTTCGTTATAATGAAACTAGTGTTTTTTTGTCAACTTTTCATACTAAAAGATCAACTCAAATGAGCTAATATGACGGGGAATTCTTTACAAATTTATTAGGATGCGGACTAACACGAGCTTTCCGTGCCAAAGCACCCGCTTTTACATTTGAATTTCTGGAAATTAGAGACAAAGAAAAAGATGAGAATTCTTCCCTGTCCACCTTTATGTCCTCCAAATAAGTAGAGAAAACTGGTCATTCCTTTGGAGAAGACACCATCTTCACCAAATCAGAATAGTCTGAATAGAACTTAACCTCACTGAAGTTGTGTCCAATCATGCAACGTATCTCCCAAACAAGTTCTTCGACTTCTGCATGAAGGGGAGAGAGACTTCGACGGGTAGTTTTGGCCCCCTTAACTGGTAGTTCGCTCTGTGAGTTCTGGCAATATCATCCTAGCCCCGTGTGTTGATATGTGTCCTAATGAAATTAGTTTGTTTTAAGAAATTCTAATCATAGTATAAACAAAAGAAAATCTATGTTATAAAAATGAAATTACAAAATTAAAATAATTCATATGGATAGGGATAAAAAATATATAGGGATAAAAAATAAGGATAAAAAATAAAAGAAAATAAATAACTAAAAACAAGAAGAAGACAAAAAATGACATAAACTATTATTAATACATATAAGGGAAAAAAACTTTAAAAATTTGCCATCTATTATTTTTTGGACGAATAAAACATATACTTTTTAAGTTAGACTAAAAGACTTTGTTAATTTAATTTTGTTATAAAAAGTCTTCGTTTATTTAACCTTTGGTAAATTTAATACATAAAATATGATAGTTTGATGGTTAGAGTGGTTAAACAATGAATATATTTTTTTTGCTGGTTACAAGAGGTACATAGGTCAAACTTATCAAAACACTTTTCCGTATTTGAATTGATTATTCGTTGTTGTTCAATATGTGACCTCGTATATTCTTCTTTGTTTTTTTTCGTCAACATATAATTTATATAAATGAATGAATGTAATCGGAATACAATTGTTGAGTTAGCCATTGAGGCCGATTAAAAGAATTAGAGTAAAAAACAAAGGAAGAACAACCATACTTTGCCAACAAGTGTGCAGCACTATTACAAGATCTTCTAGTGAATACAAAATGAACATTACAAAATAAAAGAAGCCCACAAATAAATATCATGTTGCACCCGTTCAATAGCAATATCATGGGATTGATGGTTTAGAATTTTATTCAAAACTTCACTATCCCCTTCAAAACATATCTCCTTAATGCCTCTAATCCAACTTTGCTGCATTGCCGCCAAAAGAGCTTTCGCTTCTGCTTCCAAAGGAGAGAAAGCTTGTCCGAGAACTGAACTTCCCCATCCTTTAGAGCCTCCATTTTCATCGCGAGAATCCAACCAGCTTTTACTTGTTAAGTATTATAATCAAAGGCTGCATCATAATTGCACTTTATTATATTAACCGGAGGACGAGTCCACGTAATATTTTGAGTAGGTTGTGTGGTATGATGACTTTGAGAAGTGTTATGGTTGTACGTTAACCAGTCTTGAACATCGCCTCATGCACGTAGAACAACATTTATCGGTCTATCTTGAATGCCATTGAAAATAAAATTATTTCGGGATTTCCAAATATGCCATAGAACCCAGAGAGGGAGTAATTTTGTCGCTTGAGGGATATTATGATCAGATTGCAACAATAAAAAACGTTCAAGAATATCTTCACAATTTAATGATGAGTTAAACTGAATATTAAAAGGGATATGCGAACAGTCCCAAATTCTGATGGCACTAGGGAAAATATGTGCAATGGTCTCATCAGCTCGAAAACATCTCGGACAAATAGGATCTAAATTCATCCCACGAGAATTAAGACGAGTAATAGTAGGTAAAGCTTTTGTAAGGATTCGCCAAAGAAAAATTTTAATTTTTGGAATAACTTTTAATTTCCAAATTTGATTTTTTAATTATAGAGCCAGAAGGAACCAGAGGATTCTCAATCACCGTAGTAGGGTCATCAGTCATGCATGGCTAACCAATATCCCGAACGAACAGAGTAATCACCAGACTTATTGTAATGCCAAACTAATCTATCCGGAGTACAGGATCGGGCTAAATACATATTATAAATATGGTGATGATCTAAAGGATTTACATGGGGAGTAACTTTGTCATTATCCCAAAATCTATGGTTACCAACAGAGGAAATAAGGTCTTTAAAGAGGATAGGATCATTTGTCTGAGTACAAATTGTTTTTGGAGTATGGGTAGAAGTAACATTGTCAAAATTAACTTTAGTAGTTTCCCCATCCCCTATAATATATCAAGTACCCATCTTAATAATTTTAAGACCTTCTAATATAGACGCCCAACCATAGGATTGATTTGCTCTTTTTTTTTTGCATCCAAAATTGAGTCATCTCTTTAATATCTAGCTTTCATTAAACGAGCAAAAAGAGTATCTGGATGCTTATAAATTCTCCAAGCTAATTTGGGCCAAAAGAGCATCATTAAATTTTGATAAATTTTTAAAACCCATACCTCCTTCACTTTTTGAAAACTGAAGGCGCTTCCAAGCAATCCAGGGTATTCCTCTTTCAGAATTTCCTTTTTCCCACCAGAATCGTTGAAGTTTGGAATCGATATCATTGATGACACTCACTGGGATTTTAAAACAGGACATTGTCTAAACCGGCATTGCAAGGGCAACTGAT